AGTAAAACTTTAGAAAACCTAGAAGCTAATATTGAGGCAAAAATGTCAGAAAACAGCAAAACATTAGAGTCAAAAATGTCAGAAAACAGCAAAACATTAGAGTCAAAAATGTTAGAAAATAGCAAAACATTAGAGTCAAAAATGTCAGAAACTAGTAAAGCGTTAGAAAACCTTGAAGCTAATATTGAAACAAAAATGTCAAATGTAGAATCGAAAATGCTAAACAAGTTAGATGAGTATTCTAGCAAAGTTGATGATTTAGAAAGTAGGATGAATGAAATAGATGAGAAATTTAATTGTATAGAAAAAAATCTAGAAGATAGGTTAGTTAAGCTTAGGGAGGAAATGGCTGCATCGGGGAGCTTCACACCTGCGTCATCGGCTAGCACTGGCGAACTTCAGCAGGATAACGCCCTAGAAACGATCTCCAAGCCAGCGCCCACCATTGCTGCCGTTGCCCCACAGAACATCGTTCCTCACTTCGATGGCAAAACCCCATGGGATGACTACATGCTTCTCTTCGAGACAGCGGCTATGGTACATGGGTGGACTGAGGAGACAAAGGCTTCAGCACTGTGCCTTGCACTACGGGGCGATGCGTTAGCAGTTCTGCATGCTATGCCAATGGCGGAGAGGAAGAATTTCCCAGAACTAGTGAGGAGATTGGACATGCGCTTTGGGCATCGACACATGGACCAGCTTTACCGATCTCAACTGCGGAACCGGATCCAGAAACCCAGCGAGTCACTTCAGGAGTTTGAAGCCGACATTGCTCGTCTGGTGAGAAACGCCTATCCATCGGTCACGGATGATGTCTACGAGAGTTTGGCAGTGGATAAATTCCTAGACGGTCTACGTGAACCTGAGACTCAACAGGCAGTGAAGCTCGCCAGACCTAAGACCCTGAGTGACGCACTGACACAGGCACTGGAGTTCGAGGCTGTACGGCAGTCGGTGAGAGGTCAGGCCCGAGTCCGTGTAGCAGACGCAGAACCTACATCTCCGCTCGACATCGAGGAGCTGGTGAAAAGAGTGCTAAAGGCACTCAAAAATCGTCACCGGCAGGCACGCTGTTGGAACTGCGGAGAGATGGGGCGTCCCCGGAGTAAACCTCATTCAACCCCTCCAGGATCGAAGCAGGAGTATGACTTCGAGTCAAATCATCGAACTGGGCCGAGCCATAAGAAGGCGGATGCACTCTTCAGAATACAATGTGGAGACAGCGGCAATCATTGTGCGCGCAAGGAAGACTATAGTGCATCGGTTCGTCGTGTGACCGTCATTAACGACGAAGAGGACAAGAAGAAGCTTTCAGAGGACCAGAAGGGGGACCCAGACTTAAAACACACCAAGCAATGGAAGATGGACAATAAAGGAAGATCATCGTGGCAGGATGTAGCTCCCTTGTCTAAGAACGGGAAGATGATAGACGAGATACATGAGCAAGTCCGTCGCAACATATCTGGAGCAAGCGACAGGATGAAGGAGAGGTACGACGTAAAGGCCGAGAGAGGAGGGTTCACACCTGGTGATCTCGTGTGGCTACATAATCCCCGAAGGCGTCGTGGATATTCACCTAAACTCCAGAACTCGTGGGAAGGACCTTATGAAGTTATTTCCCGTCTAAATGACGTCATCTACCGGATTAAGAGGCAACCATACGGCAAACCCATATTAGTCCATTTCAACAGGCTTGCACCCTACAACGGAGATCACGGCAAACAAGAGGAACAACAAGTTCGGAACCTCTCAACTGAGCCAAGAGACATCGTGCCAGAGAGACGTGGAAATGAAGGACCGAGGCTGTTATACAAGGACCTCTTCACTTTGCCAGTGGAATATGCCTTGGCCCACTGCGTAGCAGAAGACCTGAGAGCGTCGCGAGGTATAGCCACAGTCTTCAGGAAAAAGTTTGGAGGGACTGAAGATCTCGAGCGTCAGAGACCCGCCATTGGCACCACCCTTCACCTGAAGCGCAATGGACGGCATCTGTTCTACCTCGTTACGAAAGAAACGACAAGCCGGAAGCCCTCCTACGAATCCTTGAAGAAGAGTCTGCAAGACCTGCGAGACAAACTTCTTCGGTTAGCAATCAAAAAGCTTGCTATTCCCAGGCTGGGATGTGGTTATGACGGATTGGAGTGGAGGATCGTGAGGAATATGGTGCAGGAACTTTTCGAGGACACTGGCATCGACATTGTGGTCTGTGTATACAACCCGTGGGGGACCGGAGACATTATTGGTCCAGAAGAACTCAAGCTTCGAGAGAAATCTGTTCTGGGGCAGAACAGTCTTAAGGAGGGGGTAGTGTTACAAGTCAGGAGCCCCGCACAACAATAGCCAGGCGCCGTCTCAAAAGGGTTGTTTGTCAAAACGGGATTTCTCCGAACGCACCAGTGATAGACAATAGACCTATGTCAACGGACTACGTGAATAGGCCCTCCAGAACCTTCTACAGTTCTACGCCGGTTTGTAAACAACGGATACTCGAACTCTCCACTCTAGAATGTTCCACGGCAAACTTATATAAGGGACCGTCTTCCGGCACACGGCAGTTGAGTTGAGTCGAGCCTTCCGAGAATCGTGGCAGCAAGCGCCCGTCGGTGTTAGTGACCAGTGCTAGTGCTAATGGCAGTGACAATGTAGTGACAGTGAGAGTAACAGTGTAGTGACTCTAGTGACAGTGTAGTGACAGTATTGTAACAGAAGTGATAAATCCTGTAGAGGCTAGCTGTAAGTAGAAACATTGTAAATTAGAATAGGCTTTAGCTAGGTTTAGATAGGGTTAGTTAGGTGCTAGGTAATTCTAAATATCTGTAAATATAGATAATAATTAGTGTAAATAAATAGTTATTATAAAATCGCCAAGTTTTTATTGTAAAGAACCCGTTAAGCCCGCAACAATATGTATATATATATATATTTTATATTATATGTACATTTACATATAATGTGAAAAATAGAATAATAGGGCTACTATATATAAAGGAAGATTAAACATTAATAAACTTAGTACCCAAGTAAACATTATTTATTAAAATATTTACTGACTATAGTTTCGGCTCTAAGGCCATTTTCAAAGTTGACTAGGATCAAAGTATTTATGTTCCCTACAGCTGTAGTAGTAAAAGTTAAGTTTCAATCCACAATTATTCTGATTAGTTTAATGTACTTGTTTTAAAATAAGATTTAATATTCGTGAATGTCTCTCAATGGGACTTGGATTTGCGTAATCATAAAATTGAAGATACAGTAAACGTAGTGCAATGGCAAACAACTGAAAATTAATTATCATTCCGAATGTATACATAAGGAATTCACTCCTACTTGTTTACCGGTGAACTTCATTAAGTGCTTTTAATGCTTATTTAACAAACAAAACCTATTATATGTGATGTGTGATATTTTCCTATAACTACAAATAATATAGCCTACATATTCCTCGTCCTGAATAGATGAGTTTACATTATGTAAATTAAATTGTCCATAAGGTGCAGCACTATGGAAATTACAGTTTCAAAAATTAAGTACACTAATTTTTATAAAACAATAAATAAACACCATGTTTATTTATAACAACCAAATAAAGAAGTAGAAGATACATGGTTATTATATAAAGTAATCTAAAGTAATCTATAAATTATTCTATAAATACTTATAGAAAGCCCATAAGTGGGGTCCCCACAAAAAGGTTGCTATTTTACCACTAATATACCAGACGCATCGTACAATTCTTCAATAACTCCACAGCTGCTACAATCACATATGTGAAAAAAAAACACTCCCGAGTCCTTTTGATTATGACCAATCAAAGTTAGGATACTGGTAAACAATTAATTCAAATTAAACTGCTGCATAATTGCTGGCATAGCCTTTCATTCAAACTGGTGTACATAAAATAAACCAAACGAGACTTAAGGTTATTTTTTACGTCCGTGTTTAATATAACTATAAAGATAAAAGAGTCTAAGTGAAACAACCAAAGCCTTATATCTATAATACAAAATAATTTGTAAGTTTATCAATTAAATAAAATACTTGCAGGAATTTTTCGTCTTACTTCTATTCCATGAATTGAAAGAAAATAGTGAGAGATAGAGATACCATATGATATCTGACTCTTATATTTGAAGTCTAGCTATTTTCTAATATATTTGTAAATATTTATAATCAGCTTTCATTGACACAGCTAACATGATTGTGTATTATAGAACTATGTTGAGGAAGGTTATAATCAATAGGATTAAGAATTATGCTTTTAGGTTAATCAAAATTACTTAATGAATGAAATGAAAGTCCTTCATTTTTTACATGAACCTAGGACTACAGTCTCTTAACAGTATAAAGTAAAATAGTTTTTTGTAGCTAATTATTAAACCCAATACCATTACATTTAACAAAGTTGAATGTTCGTTTCAGAGGAAACATCTCGCAAAAGGAGGGCCAGGTTTTCAGGCCGACTGCCCAGAACAGGGACTAGCTGCGGCAACCGTGAGTATATAACTATACCCAGAAAAATTACAATTCGTTGAGCCTATTACCATATCAATATGCAGAACAGGGACTAGCTGCGGCAACCGTGAGTATATAACTATACCCAGAAAAAGACAAATTCGTGGCACCTATTACCATATCAATATGCAGAACAGGGACTAGCTGCGGTAACCGTAAATATATAACTATACCTAGAAAATTAACAATTCGTGGCACCTATTACCACATCAATATGCAGAACAAGGACTAGCTGCGGCAACCGTGGGTATATAACTATACCCAGAAAAAGAAAATTTCGTGACACCTATTACCATATCAATATGCAGAACAGGGACTAGCTGCGGCAACCGTGAGTATATAACTATACCCAGAAAAATAACAATTCGTGGCACCTATTACCATATCAATATGCAGAACAGGGACTAGCTGCGGCAACCGTGACTATATAACTATACCCAGAAAAATAACAATTCGTGGCACCTATTACCAAATCAATATGCAGAACAGGGACTAGCTGCGGCAACCGTGACTATATAACTATACCCAGAAAAAGAAAAATTCGTTGCACCTATAACAATATCAATATGCAGAATATGGACTAGCTGCGGCAACCGTGAGTATATAGCTATACCCAGAAAAAGACAAATTCGTGGCACCTATTACCATACCAATATGCAGAGCAGGGTCTAGCTGCGGCAACCGTGACTATATAACTATGCCCAGAAAAATAACAATTCGTGGCACCTATTACCACATCAATATGCAGAACAGGGACTAGCTGTGGCAACCGTGACTATATAACCCAGAAAAATAACATTTTTTGGATCCTCTTACCATTTTAATATGCAGAATAGGAACTAGCTGTGGCAACCGTGAGTATATAACTGTACCCACGAAAAAAACAATTCGTTGCGCCCATTACTATTTTTTTTTTTTTTTTTTTTTTTTAAGAGGTTGGCGGCCTCTTTTAACCTTGAATTTGCCCGTCCACATAGACTAAGCGCCCGTGCGTGGATCGTTTACAGCAAAGCAAGGAGTGAGCCGGTACAGTACAAAGGTGAACTGTACTGATAAAATGTTATCGGCAGTGACCAGGATCCGAACCCACGACATCGCTGCCTTGGGCCCGAAGTCCGCGACGCTACCGACTGAGCCACCGACTCACTAACTATATAACTATATAAAAAACTATATAAAATAATAAAAAACTATAAACTATATAAAAATGCAGAACAGGGACTCGTTATGCCAACCTTGACTATAATATGAAGAACAAGGGCAAGATGTAGACACTATGACTATGTCAATATGAACTTTAATAAGCTTATTATTATATGACCTGAGTAACACTCTAAAGCAGGTTGTGTACTAAGAGAAGTTCAGAAATAAATGCATTTTATTTATGCAGAACACTGTCGAATTTTGGTGATTGTTACCATATAAATACTAGTTTTGCTGACCGTGACTATCTTTATGCTCAATAGGGACTATTTGTGGTAACTATGGGTATACCTTCACAAAATTAAACTGTGCTTTCTCCAGTATGAAGTAAATCACAAGAGAGTAATTATATGCTAACAGTTTCAAACAAACAATTATTATAAAGTTTTTTTGCACGATCTGTAATGATAACAAATGAGAAATGGTATATTAACTTAAACACTCTAAATACAAGTTTTGCTAATCATTGACAATCAATCTTTAAGCCCCGTTATTGTTAATTAAAAGTATGGACTAATACAGTGTGTAAATTAAGTCTGGCACACATTTTTTATCTTTTTTCTATAGTAGATAGAAGAAATCAATTTGCGGGACTGATTAATAACAAATGTTAGGCACTTTTTACAAATTTTGAAAATAAAAATTCCCTTAAGGGCAAGTGGGGGTCGGGGGTAACTAAAAACTTTCAAATGACAACCCCCATCTTGTGACCCCTCATTTAAAAGATATTTGAAAGACAAATCTAAAGATGTGTCTGAAAAATTTTTTTTTGCACCCTATCCAAGATGGCGGTTTAAAATGTACTTAGGGTTGAACGGGTAAATTAGGTATGGCACACATTTCTTATCTTTTTTACTCTTTGTACATAGAAGGAATTATTTTGCGGGACTGAGTAAGAACAAATGTTTGGCACTTTTTCATAATAAAAAAAGAAAATACCCTTAAGGGTAAGGTGGGGGTGGGGGGTCATTAAAAATTTTCAAATGAAACCCCCATCTTGTGACCCCTCATTTTAAAGGTATTTGGAAGACAAATTTAACGATGTGTCTGAAAATTTTTTTTGCATCCTGTCCAAGATGGCGGCTTTAAATGTGCTTGCGGTTAAATGGGTGGGGTCTGGAACACAATTTTATCTTTTTTGCCATTAATAGATAGAACTTATCCACTTGTGGGACTGAGCCAAAATTAGGCACCTTTTTATTTATTTGAAAAAATCCCCCTAAGGGTGTTTCAGACTTAATTTACTTGTTCAACCCTAAGCACTTTTTAAGCCGCCATATTGGACAGGGTGCTTAAAAAACATTTTTAGACACATCGTTAAATTTGTCTTCCAAATACCTTTAAAATGAGGGGTCACAAGATGGGGCTTGTCATTTGAAAATTTTTAGTTACCCCCCACCCCCCCTTTGTCTTAAGGGAATTTTTATTTTCAAAATTTGTAAAAAGTGCCTAACATTTTTTATTAATCAGTCCCGCAAATTGATTACTTCTATCTACTATAGAAAAAAAGATAAAAAATGTGTGCCAGACTTAATTTACACACTGTATATTACAAAAAGGTATTGATAGATTTATTCCGTCGGTGTGCAAAAAACGCTGTTCAAGCAATTAATTTTATAAAATAAAAAACTTAAACTGTTGCAAAATATTTATTACTATATGAATGTTTATTACACTTTTGGATCCCTTGGATAAACATATTGGATTACTAACAAAATTTTACTAGTTAGCCGATTTTACATATTGTTGATGTGATTATAGTTTACTTTTGCACTAACATGGTGACTAATTTAACTTTTTCCATTAACAATAATTGCATTGCAAAGCCTAAATAAACGGCCACAATAAATACAATCCATATAAAATGTACTTAACGCTCTATACAGGGTGACCGTTAAGTCTTAGGACGACTTTATTACTTTTAAACGACAAACGATATCACAACCACATTCAGTATACCGTTACTGGAAATTGTAAGCTACTTTTCTGTGTACATGGTGGTCGGATATCACCTTTGGGGGACGGCCCGTCGGGGGTCAGAAGAAAATCTTAAATGACAACCTATGTTGAGTTGTATATAATTTTAAAGGTCTACTTCAACTGAAAATAATGCCGCAAACCGCACTTCAAAAGGTGGATCCTGCGCAAAATGGCAGATGTTCAAAGATTTTCAAAATTAGCCAATTTCTTTAAATTAAAACACTTTTTAAATCTCTAAACAACTGTCATTTTTTAACGGATGGTCCTTTTGAAGTACGGTTTGCGGCATTCTTCTTTGCTTAAAATTCTCTTTAAAATGATCCCCATAACTTCACATTCAGTGACCCAAATAACTCTCAGGGCGAAGGCCCACAAGGAGTCGGAAGTAAATCTTGAATGGAAGCATAGGTTGATATGCACATCAAATTAAAGGTATTTATTAGTAGAATACAATGCCGCAAACCGTACTTCAAAAGGACCATCCGTTAAAAAATGACAGTTGTTTGTCGTCCTAAGACTTAACGGTCACCCTGTATATCTATAGCAATGAATTTAGAGAACACTGTTTGTGCGTGACTTGTCACTTAGTTATATTAAGTTTATTTATAGCATGTTCTGCTGGTGAGTCAGAATTAGTTTCATAGACGCAGAACGCTTTGTGATTGCTGCGTTAGGCAGGCCCCCGAGGCGAGAGTGGCCAGCTAACTTTTACACTTTGAAACAGCATTATCACTAATTTGGTTCACAGCAAACAAAAATACCGTGTTTACCGTTGATAGTACACATTTATGGATTTTGTATTCCTTATTCCTTCCTACATTGACACCAAAATGTAACGGATTTCAGTAATAAACTATAAAACTTTGTTAATACGTGAAACAATACAATTTGCAATAATTTGAAGAAACTTTGTTTTATTAAAGTGATTTGTTTTGTGTTGTTAATACTTATTATGAATGTGTTGTTAATAATGATTATGAATTGTATTTTACATTGTGTTTTATGTAAGTTAGTCTAGTCTTTAAACAATATGTTCTCACGTAAAGTTCTGTTTAAAGTCAACATCCTCAAAACATCGTGCATACCTCTTTAGGATATTTTTTAAAAGTACTATTGTGAGTTTTGTTTTTATTTATTTTCCAATATTGGTTTTGAAACTTGTATGTAGTGGAACATTAACGCAAACGTTGTTTTAAACATTAAACATGTAACAGATTGTATTTGCTATATGTAATTGTATAGTTAAATTTTCAATTTAAGATGCATATGTAGTACTCAAAATCAGTACCACTTTGTCCATTCGTCTGTCAATTGTCCATTCGCCTGCAGTTCTATCACAACTTGTTGACCCTCATAAAATACTGTATCAGTAAGATTTTTGCAGTAATTCATTACAGCAGTACGCAGATAAATTGATGAAAAATTGTTAGTGCGTGATTTTTCTCTTAGTTATATTAAGTTTATTTATAACATGTTCTGCCTATAATGAACTATAGTTTCCCTAAAGGGAAGGATTTAAAGTATAGTGTGGGAATCCAAAGTACAAAAAAAATGAATTATAATTTTCTAAAGATAAATTGCAATATGTAATACAATCATCACATTTGACCCAATCCCAAACAAACTGATATATTTTTATGTGATTATTGGAGAGCACAGCCATAAATGTAAAATATACATTCAAAAATGCTTAATTGATTTACAACTATAGGTGATAATAAAAATAATACTCTAAAGTAATAGTTTTCAATTTTCCAGTTACCTCTAACTAAAACCATTCATATCAATGTTTAGTTGAAAAACAACATTTTATTTTGTAATCAAATGCGTATTCCTTAATTAGAGGGGGGTGAAATGGCACGACCCTATTGTAAAACAACACAATGTAAACATCCTGTATGCAGATGATAGCAGCTGCATTCAGTTGGTCTTAGCCTCTGAATTCGGTTTGGAAATGGGTGAACGATAATAGCAAACTTTATGATTAGTTAACTGTGCTTATAATTAATCTATAAATGGGTATGAGGAGCCGTTGGTTTATGTATGTATACATATGGCCTTTTCATTTGAGACATACCTACCTATATCCTAATATCTTATAGAGATACAAAACCTACCATACGATTGTTGGAAACTATGAATCGAAATTATTATAGTAGTTCCACAAAAACGTGGTCCATTGCAAACCGAAATGGTCATTTTAAAATAATAGCTATAATCTATAACATATCACGCCTTTTTTCTATCCCAGTTTCAAGAACTTTAATTATAAAAGATATATGCTCTACCTTTGTTGTACCTGTGATGCCTGAGTTCTTGTAGGT